CTTCTGTTTCTCTTTCAGGTAACAAGTCGGACAAGAAGTCCACCACTAAGGTAGGCTCCCCATTTCACTTACCGCTCGGAAGGGTGGTCCTGAGTGGGACCTGGGTGGAGACTGAGAGCCAGTGCTGTAGGGGAGCAGGAGGCAGCGTCCTGCCCTCTGTACACCGTCATACACAAACCAGCACCCATTCACCCGGCAAAACCCCTTCTCTCCCTCTCCTGCAGCAACCTCAGAGCCCCAAGGACCAGCCGAAGAAAGGTGATCAGAAAGGAGATGATAGCAAAAAGCAAGGAGGTAAGAGCCGAGAGCGAGGCAGGGCGAGCACAGGGGGGCGACATCACTCCATCGGCTGCTCGTGAAACAGACAGCCCCCCCCATCACAGCCTCAGGGGCCCCCGGTGGCTTCTGCTCCTCACTGAGGTCTGAAGAGGCGGCTCTTTTGGTCCCAAGCCGGGCTCCTGCCCTGCGACAGGCCGCTGGCGTGACGCTACCCGGTACCTGGGACTTTCCTGGCCTGGCTGGTCCGCGTCCTGCAGCTGTGGAGTGGCCTCTCGTCTCCTACAGTCCAGCGGGGAATGACCAGAGCCCTGCTGCGGTATCGTGACTCAGTCCAGCAGGTCACAGAAGACACGAAGGTTTAATTTCAGCCCACAGGGGTGTCCCGCTGAAACTGCCAGATCGGCTGTCACGTCATCCTTACCGCCGCGCAGCACCACACTGGCCCTGCTGCCTCCCTGTCCACGACAGACGTCTCTCTGCCTTTCCCTTGCAGGACAGCCGAAGGCAGAGAAGCAGTAACTTTCAGGCGTTTGTCAAGATGGCTCTGGAGACGCTGCTGGGGTCCTGTCGTCGCAGACGTGGAGGCGCCCGGGGGAGGCAAGGCGGCCAATAGCCCACCCCCCCCCCAGACCCCTGACCGATCGACGTGCTCCACCCCACCCCCGACGGCTGCCATGGGCCCATGTTTCTGTCAATCAATGAGCACCACTTCAGCCCCTGCCTGCTGCCCAGGTGCTCTCATCAGTTACCCTGCATGAAATGCAGCGAACCAGTAGACTCCAGCTTCCTTCCTGCTGCCTGACCCCGCCCTACCGCCGGGTACCTGACCCCGCCCCCTCTGTATCTCATTTGACTGTCCCCGCCCCCACTGTGAATAAACACTCATGCAGCACCCTGTCTTCTTGGCTCTTGGTTTTCCTACTTGAAGAAGATCAGTTCAGACAAAATCCAGCTGGAGGGATAAAACCCTCTTCACTGCAGGCTGGCCATGAAACACATTGTTAGACAAAACAACAGAAAAACGTGTTAAACCAACTGACATACTGTAGAAGGTTTAATAGAAAATTAATAAAAGCAAACATGTATATGACATTTCAAGGGATAAGTGTTTGGCAGAAGCAATGTACAGGAGATGTTTGTTAAAACAAGCAGGAATTATGGCACAATGAAGCCAAGTATACTGGGGTGGTGCTGTACACTCATGGCCAAAAAGAAGACTGGAGAAGCACTCCATTCCTGTGAACTGTTGTATCTGTTTGAGGAACAAGCTGCCTTCCATAGTCAAGATGCACGTGATCTCCTCGCGACAGCGCGAGGCTCCAGGAGAAGAGGCCCAGCTGCAGACTGGAGACTCTGGAGGCATCTGAAACCGCCCAGCTTGAGAGTCGAGCAGAGCAGGGCCAGCACATTCCAGCCCAGACACGGGTCAGGGATGACGGAGTGACAGGACGCAGGCCCTGTCTCTCATCACCCTCCTGAAGTCTCCGGCTTGCAGCTCCCTTGTCAAAGAAAAGGTCAGGCGCCCAAACACTGCAGCTGTTCTTTAAAAATGTTGTGGCTTTTGGGAAATGCTAACAGATGTCAGGCCATGGGACTGAAGCAGAAAGCAAACAATGAGTGAACGGAGGCCCAGGCATCAACACACAGACAGGCTGGTCTCCCGCAGGGCTCAGAGCTTGTTCTTCAGCACACTGCCATCGCTCTGGTGCCAGACCCCAGTCCCGAGGGCCAGGGGCGTCTTCCTTCCAGCGGCCCAGCTCTCGCCCTGCTCTGGAATGGGTACACTGGCCCCCCACACTTCAGGGTTTCTGAAAAACGGCCATGTTCTTGCAGGCTCAATGTGCTCTACTTAAACACTGTGTTCGCAAAGGACAGGCCAGGACAGGGCTCTGGAACTGTGTGCACTTCCTGACGTCCAGGGTTTCCTGAAATCCAAAGGAGGTGCTCCAAGGGAAGGAACAGAAGTGACTGAAGCCAGAATCCCAAACTCTCCAAAGATGAATGTAGAGATACCTCCAAATATTGCCCCAGTGGGATTCATACGTTTGACTTCTCGAACATGTTGAACGCTATAATGACTAACCCCATTATTCTGGACAGAGGACAGACAGGGGGCGCTGTCGCTGCACCCTGAGCAGCAGACACAGAGGAGCACAGTAAAACAACAGGGAGTGCTTTCTCAGACCCAGACCACCACAGGGAAAGGAGGCAGCCGGGCGTCTTTAAACTGGGCAGAACGAGGACAACGGCCCGGCCTTCATGAATGATGGCTTTCTTATTGCTCTTATTGTCTCTGCCCTTCCACTCCTCCTGCTCAGCGAATCAGACGGTAGAACACCCAGCAGCCGAAGGTCACCCAGTGGCTCGCCCAGCTCAGCTCTGACCACTTCTGAATGGTGTGATTGGCCACATATCCCTGTGGGGGACAGAGACCGAGAGAAGGATCAGGCCCCGGCGCTGAGCCCCGCCCCCTCACCTCATGAACCACAGACGACACACAGAGGCCGGAGCGAGGAAGAGCTCTTACCTCTTCCGAGTCGATGTTGTCCACATCGGAGTCGAAGAGGGAGCCCAGGTAGGCCAGGTGGAAGATGGACATGGCGCTGAAGCCCATATTGATGGCGTACACCCACAGGCTCTGCGGGGGACAGAAGAGACGTGCTGATGACATCTATGGGCTCCTCACTTGTTCCCAGTTTACCTGCCATGAAGGCTGCGGTGGCTGCTAATGTCCGTGTGCATGGCCTTCTAGAGAAGCAGGAGGAGCTGAGGCCTGAAATCAGTTCATTGTCGGTCGACTGCTCTGCCACACTGTTTCATACAAACTACCTGCATGAGCCGAGCTACCAGGCCAGCAGCAGCAGCACAGGGAAACAATTCAGCAACAACTGCTCAAACCAGCATAACAAATATGGACCTCAAATCTCCAGGCCATGTAAGGATAGAGAGTGTTTGGCACACTTGGAAAGCTCATGGAACCCTGCGGCTCCGAATCTCATCGCCTGGCCTGCCGAGTCTTTCTGGTAGCAGACGGGTCCCACTGGATTACCTGCTTGTGCTGGTGGCCACAGTCTGGTGGGCAGCGCCTGGACAAGATGCACGCGTGGAAGATAGCAGCCAACCTCTTGCGCAGAACTGAACAAGGACAGAGGAGGAAACAGCACTGGAGACCCCGAGTTTCACAGCAGGACAGCGCCACCCGCTCCTCCCCCCGTTTTAACACTGAAGGACCTGAAGAGCACAATCCTGCTCAAGATGCCCATCAGAGTCCCGGGGGTCATCCAGCTGTTCCATCAAGGAGCCCAGGACACGGACGGCTCGGTTCTTTCAGACTCCCCGAGTGGAGAAGAGTCTCCTGCTCTGGACTGGAGCCTGTGACCCCAGGAACAGCCCCGCGAGGGGATGACGTCGGCATCTCCTACAGGTTATCAACCCCTGAATCGGGACCCCCAAGTCGGAGGAGGGCGGCGGGGCTGGAGACCCTTACCATGTTCCACGTAGGTGATGAAGCCCAGAGACAGCAGCACAGCGCCCAGGTGGAAGCTCAGGCCCTGCAAGAGAGATTTTCAACACGGTTTTGCCCCTTGTTCAAAAGGGGACAAAAACAACAAACCCCACACAGAGAAGAGGAAACTCACAATCCAGACAGGTGCACACATAGGGGCCTGCGATCCAATCTACACGGTACAGAGTACCCCTGGCACCAAGGTCACAGCGACACGCAGCCCCAAGACATGACACGTGATGACATCATACTCACGTGCAGCAGGGCACTGGCAGTGTAGGTGACCAGGATGGCAGGAAAGGTGCCAAGCCTCAGCGCACTTTTGAAAACATCTGTGTGAAGGACAACAGAGGAACACCTGAGCAACATCTTGCTCCTGCAACCCCAACACACCCACACACACCCAATCTTCACCAGCGCCGACCAACGCGCACACACACACATCCCCACCCTCCCAGCACAGACCAGCGCACACAAACACTCCCCCTCGCCAGCACACACACACACACACACACATACACCCACCCCCCCTCGTCAGCACACACACACCCTCACCCTCCCAGCACAGACCAGCACCAGCCCTGCTTCTTCTGGGAAAAAGGTCCTATAAACACAATTACTGAGCACACTTTCTTTTTATCTGGATAGACAATAAAAATCTGAATCTAGAAAGCTAATAAGCATTTTTATGCTTCACTGACAGAACTCCAGATGCAGGTTGACTGGGGAGGTTGAGCACTATAAGACGTGCAGGGGCTCAAATCCCACCCTGAGCAGCTGAGATCATCAGTGGAAATCAAGGCTCACAAGACACTGCTGCCAGCCGAGCCATGAGCTCGTGTGGGATTATCACCTAAAACCCGGGGTCTAAGCAAGGACAAGCACATGCTGATTCTGAACAGGAAGCTCTCGCACCCAGAGGCAGCACTTACACGTGTTGAGCCAGCGAGACATGGGCAGGTTCCAAGAGGTCACGACCTCCACCATGGACCTGGGCAGCTCCACATTCAAAGGCCTGGTTACGGTCAGGTCCCTGGAACAGGAACAGGAGCACAACTTCAACTCGTTAGTGGCTCAGAACCTATCTGGGACTTGCCTTGGCGTTCTGCACTGTTAATTAAAAAACAGTATGACAAGTGTTTGAGCTATCTGGTAATAATCATCTCAGACAGAGCAGAACCTGGCAGCATTCATGGATCGTGAATTCGGTTCATCCTCTCAGGAAACACACTGACAGATGCACCCGCTGTGAACTGACCACTGGAGGACATACACTCTCACAGACGCACAGCCCACACGCCCGCTGTGAACTGACCACTGGAGGACATACACTCTCACAGAC